AGTGCACCTGGATGGGGCGCACGGTAACAAAATATGCAATCTAAATTCGTGCCGAGCACGTGTCTGTATAGGCAGAAAATCTCATAACAGCACTGTGGGCGCATTGACAAAAGTAGACAATTTAACCCGTTGAGAACAACGATGTGCATCGTGGAGTAAATAGGGGCCACAAACCACACCAATCATAAAGGCAGGAACAAAATCGTGGCAGCAAACTCTAGTCTCGATATTTAACCTCTTCTAAATAGGGAGTAGAAGTGGAGTGAAACTGGTTACTTCACACTGTCACCACTGTGTGGTCCTGATTTTTGCGACTACCTACAACAGAAACGCTCTCTGAATACTAGTTCACCAGTAAGAGCGAACCAACAGGCAACTTGGGTGCTTGACCGGTCAAACGATGCATCACCCTCTCGTTGTCAAGGCAACGCTGGTCACAGCCGATCAGGGGCTGCTTTGGCAAACCAAAAACTTGAATAATAATTAAAAATATGACAAAAGCTTGTATGAAGCAGCCGCGGTGATGCTGCATGTCACTAACAAGAGTGAACAGAGTTGCGGCAGACGATAACAAAATCAGTGACCACAATTCAAGCAGCTAATCAGTCGATATTGTCAAAAGTAGACAATTTCGGCGGTTGAGAACAGCCATATGCATCATTAATTAGGCAGGATCGCATATGGCCACCAAGACACACCTCTCATTCACACACGTGCGAAAAAGCGGCTAAACACGATTGACTTGACGCTAAAACATCGTTGAAATGGGGTGAAACGGGACAATTCGCAAACATCGCCCGCTGTCTCCTTTCGATGTATACAACTAACTGCTGCAAAAACACATACAATGGGTGAGAGTACTCGAGTAAGTGTACATCAAAAGATAGTTGGGGTGGAGGTGGGCGGGGGGACCGTGTTTAGCATGCATCTCTCTCTCGTCGTGGCTGCACGATCGCAGATCCATCGGATCACGCCGTGAGTTCAGCTGATCATGTGCTGCAAGAAATGATGAATTTCTCAATTTTATGTTAACGTCAGACACCGACATTTGCTAGTTCTCCAACGACAGCACCTTAAACGCAACCTGCAGAGATGTCATGGTGTAAGACAGACATTTCAGAGCCCAGAGTAATGTCACATTTCCTGAACGGAGCTCCACAGTAGACATTATCGATTTTTTCTTGGGTTAGGCCCATGCCAAAATCTGGTCAGTGCTAGATCTAGTGGTTTATCAGCAGATAACCTTTTTTAATAGGTTTATTCAGTAGATTCACCCGATCCAGTCGGATTATTTGAGTTCTGGCGAAAACCTCATGGTTTACATGAAGCAGTCCACGCTTTTTCAAAGATTTACCGACCATGTTCTGCGTGATCTCGGAGTTGTCTTCATTTGTGTCTATGGTATTGTCATTCTGCAACGTTGTCAATATTTTAAGGCCCGCTTCACCACGATGAACCTTAAGCAATTGTTTTCGGCGAAGACAATATTCAAGATCAGAATCGTGACTGAGATGACACCCGCAATCCGGGAGTGTCCAATGTCTGAATCTCCTCGTAGCCTCAGTCGTTTCGTCGGTTTGATTAACCGCGATGAACGGATCTTTCGGCAGTTTCGCTTCAAATGACTCCATTCTTTCCACGCAACTTCTAATCCGTATTCTCCACGCCAAAATCCTCGTATCTCGACTCACGCCTCTCAATTCAAACTCACTATCAGCCATTTTGATGCTATCTATTTTGAACTATTGGCTGCAACGCAGAATTACGACCACTGATTCCAGGTTCGGGTCTAACCTCACTGTTCCACGAAAACCGGGTGTGAGTTGGAAGGTGGCAAACCGCATCTTTATGTTCCTGCAAAACTTATACAAAATATCTGATACTTTCGCTCATATTCACACCGTGGCATTGCCGCTACTGTGAGCTCGACGACTGAACGTCTTGTTTAGACTAGTGGTCACATAGATGCCCGTTTATGTACTAAACTCTGAATTTAGTATCAGGGAGGTAAAGTCCACCATCACAATACTTCACTACCTGGGCATTTTCTCCTCAATGACTGGCGTTTCTGATGTTTACGTATGGATTTAGTTGGACCTCTTCCACCGTCCCATGAGTTTGCCTTTATTTCCACCTCTGTGGATCGCTTTACACGTTGGCCAATAGAAATTGTCATTAAAACCGGAAGTGTGGGCCCCGTGCATGCGGTCTCAAACCACGCCGTTAAATTTAGTTCGACTTCGCCACCCTGAAACCATCAAAAATTACGACGAAAACGGGTGATATCGCAACCGTTTACTAGATAACCCAATCCAATTAATATCGTTTTTTCGTGTGTGGAGATTGGATGTGTCTATAGCTCCGAAGTTTGAAACAGCATGAATCGAATATGTGCTAACATCGAGACCTAGGTGAATGCGTCATCACATGCAGTGATGATCCAGCAAATATGGTTTTAAGCTCCCCCTTGGCTGACGGTACACTGTGAATTGTCGCGATTTGCAACACCAGTGTTACCAAAAAATGTTGTTTGCCCGTTTCTGGAATCACGCGTGTCGTCGTTCGGCGTTCTCAGTTCCCTTACCTCTAATGTTGTTCGTCACCACTATTCTCGTAAACGAAAAAGTTAACTCAACTCCTGCAGAACTCGTTTTTGGTAAAATTCTCTGTCTTCCTGGTGAAATGGTCACAATTTCTGTCGCCAATAACAAAATCTCTTTCTCATCCATGCGTCAACGAGTTGAAGCGCCCCACGAAAGGTATTTGGGCTCATCCTAAAGAGTTTTCTTTCAACAACATGACCTAATTCACCCGAATTCCCCTACATCCCTCTTTGTCCTGGTACCTGTCGTAAGACTCATGAAGACAGTTGCCCAGACAATTGATTGAGGTGGAATGTTAGAGTTGATCCTTTTAAATTTGCCGTAACCGGCGACTGCAATGGCCCTATCTTAGATCCGTGTCACGATAACCCCTACACACTATCCCGTCGTTTTCACCTACCCATGCCCACAGTTATGGTCGACACCATAGGCTCCCAGTCCGCTCTGCTGATTTGGGGGTTTAATGGGTCTCGCAACCACCAGTCCCGGTTACGGGGGTGGGGGAATATTTGCGATGGCACGTCAGCTGGCGTGTGCATGAGGCTCGACCTGGAGTTTATGACTCACCCTTGTGCTTCATTGGCTGTTCTTGTGACTCGCTCGATAATCACGCTCGTGCGCGGCCAAATTTGGCGATTAAGAGGGTCTTTCGCTGTAGCCGGTCACGTCTCCTTTCTCGGGTTGTTAGCTAGGAGGGTTGTAAGCTGAGACAAGCCAAAAAAGAGCGATTTTAATCCAACGAAATTCCGCCAAGACCATGGCGCGAAGATTTCGCCGTATGCGAAAGTATGATTAATGTGCTGTTAAAATGGAATGGTGTGAACCGTAGTTCTCAGTCATTCTAACGATTATCGGCTGCTGTTGTCAATCGATCGATAATCGCGCCTGCGGCTTTCATGTCTCTGTTCTCGAGTTATTTCGGGCTGTGAACTAGCAGGGTTTTGAGACGGTACAAGCCAACACTGCTAGTAGTTAAATCGATAAAATTCATGTACTCTGGCCACCAGAATGCAATTTCGATCCAACCAACTAGCAATTTTCGTGTAAGAATGTGTGGAAAGTTGCATTCTTGTGAAAATTAAATAGGGAGTAAATAAGCCAATCTGCTTACGTCAGCCCATTCATTTCGATTTACAAAATCTTGCCTCAATTTCCAATTTGTTACTTTTGAATTAATGAAGTCAGGCGTTGCTGGCAGACAGACTTGAGCTATCAAGTCATCAATACAAGAAAACGACTAACCATTAAGCCGGGAGAACATGGTCAAATATTCAAGGAGTAGTGTTAACATTGAGTTACCATCACTAGTGATCGCGTGAGCTGTTGAGGTTAAACAGAAGTCGTTTAACATTGAGAAAATCATCACGAACTTAGAACTCGAAGTGGTAGTGGTTTAACGTAAAACGAAATACACAATTTTGACTGATGAAATACGTATCAAGGCTTCTACATGTTGACGCAAGTTTATCACCATTCCGGAGGCCTGTACCGACACATTGTTTAAGCAATATACTTTTGTGACCGCCACTCCATATTCCACTGCTCTCAAGATCACGTTTGTGACTCGCAAAGGATCTGTTCTACTTGATCATACATCACGCATTTCAGCCGCTTTCAATGTCAGGCACAAATATACCTCAATCGTGCCTGCGGTGACGGCAATTTCGTAAAAAAGGCACTATGCCACAAAAACTTCAGCTCCAGCACCTAAGTGCCCCACTTTACTAGCAATCTTTTCACTAAAAAAGCCTTAGAAGGCACTTCACACAAATCTAAGGTTCAAGCAACCAGCGACCGAAAGCGAAGATCCTGTGTCCAAAGCAAGTTCGCTTGAACATAGTAGAATTTAGGCACCTATCCCGATCTGACCAACTCGAACGACGCGCTGATTAGGGTAAAACCCTCTTCCTCTGAAGCCAATTAAAGAATACTTGTAAACAAGTATTGCTAAATCGACATCTGCCTAGCACTCTTAGATTCCCACACGTTAAGCCATGATAGGTAGAATTACAGCGACCAAACGCCATTGAAAGGGAGGCAGCGGATTTGCCAGTGCGTTTATAAAAAGCATCGCTTGTGAACCCCAATTTGCGAACCCTCAGACGAGTAAACGACGCAAACACCGACAACGGGAGTTGGGAGAGGAGCCAATCACGACGCAAATAGGGCATAAGACCACGAAACACGATAGTTGACTCATGCGTGTATCCGCGCGTAATTTCAAAATTTAAACTACTGGATAGTAATTGGCTGTTAGTTGACCAATCAACTGTCAACGAGGTGAGCGGTTGTCCAATTGCTAAACGAAGTGACATTTCAGCCAATGTTACTGGCCAGACTAGATTATAAAATCGCGTGTTTTTCGACGCTAGCTATCATCGTTTTCTCGAGCAAGTGATGGCACGTACGAAGCAAACCGCTAGGAAGAGCACAGGAGGAAAGGCCCCGCGCAAGCAGCTGGCCACAAAGGCCGCTCGCAAGAGTGCTCCCGCCACGGGAGGCGTGAAGAAGCCCCATCGTTATAGGCCCGGAACGGTTGCGTTGCGTGAAATTCGTCGGTACCAGAAGAGTACGGAACTTCTCATCCGCAAGATGCCCTTCCAGCGCCTCGTTCGTGAGATCGCACAGGACTTCAAGACCGATCTTCGCTTCCAGAGCTCAGCAGTCTCTGCTCTACAGGAAGCCAGCGAGGCCTACTTGGTTGGTCTTTTTGAAGACACCAACCTGTGCGCCATCCACGCCAAGCGCGTCACAATCATGCCGAAGGACATCCAGCTGGCTCGCCGCATCCGTGGTGAGAGGGCTTAAGTGCCGAGAGTTGATGGGGTAGAAAACCACTGCTGAGAACGATGAAACGGCCCTCTTTAGGGCCTCACAACTGATTGTTGAGTGGCGAGTTCGCCACATTGGGTTTAGTGTGGGTTCTGCGACTGAACTGTCTTGGGATGGCTCGGCATGGGTGGCGTTGGCCAAGCGAAGCTACGTGGGTTCGGTACGTGCGGGAACTCAGTAAAGGTCACTCTGGGGAGATGCGCAAAGTTGTTTCGGTGGGACCGGCAGTCTGGGGACTAACATTGTCGGGGCCTGGTGACATGGAACAATCTTAAAACGGTGTTGGCGGGGTCAGAAGCTTTAGCAAGTGTTCCCTTGTATAGCAGAACCTACTTTCCCATGCGTCTTGTCTGTTGATCATCGTCCACCGTTGAGGAGGCGAGCAGACGTGCAGTTCGCTGACGCCCTATATCCAGGTTGCACGTTCTGAGTCGCAAAAATCAGGACTACAGTTTCCATAAATATGCGTCATTTTATGTCAAAGCCACTTTCTGTTCCTGCGCTGGTGATCTGTGTGGTTTCGTGGCCTCTGCTGAAAGGCGTCTTGACGCAATCCCACCTTATCTACTAAACGACACAATTCTTACTATTTTAATTTGTCTCCCTTGTGCCAATGCGCCCACGGTGAGTTTATGAGATTTTTTGCCAATATAGACAAGTATTCGTTACGAATTTAGATTGCATATATTGTAACCGTGCGCCCCATCCAAGTGCACTCATGTTAGTGATATGCTGCATCACCATTTTTGCATCATTCAAACTTTTGACAGCGTAACATTTTTCACTATCACTCATGTTTAGTCCCACCAAAGCTACCTCCATTAGCCGCCTTCGTCCAGCGAATTGGCTACGCCATTTACGAGTGGACGAGGACAGTTAAAGCTATCCACGCGAGATGTTGACAAAAGAGAGGATTTTACCAAACATAAGTTATGTTGGGGGTATTGTTAACTTCGTTTACGGGAATAGTGGGGACGAGCAACATTAGAGGTAAGGAAGCTGATCACGCCGAATGACGATTCCCGTAATTCCGCAAACTTGTAATCAAACCAAGATTTAATGGCGTGGTTTGAGACCGCATGCCCGGGGACAACAATACCAGTTTTAATGAAAAATGCTTTTGGCCAACGTGTAAAACGGTCCACCGAGGTAGAGATGAAGGCAAACCCACAGGAAAGCCGAAGAGGTTCAAATAAATCCATATGTAAACGCCAGTCTGAGGAAAGTATGGAGTCATTTGAAACGAAATTGCCGTAAGCCCCGTTCATAGTGGTTGATCAAACCGACGAAACGACGGAGGCTACGAAGTGATTCAGACATTGGCCACCCCCAAATCGCTGCTGCCATCGCAGTCAGGATTTTGATTCTAAATATTTTTTTCGCCGAAAACAAATGCTCAAGGTTCATCGTGGTGAAGCGGGCCTTAAAATATTGACAACGTTGCAGAATGACAATACCATAGACACAAATGAAGACAA